GTCAGAGGTGTGGGGTGTGTGAGATAATTCACAAGAGAAAGAGTGGGGAGCAGAGCAGGCAGATTTACTGAAATATACTGCTGAGGGGAGCAGCGGGCAGGTCAGGAGAGGTCTGTTATGCCAGGTGGTCACCTCCTTGACTGGGGATCAAATGGCTGCCCATAGCTTTATAGTGCTGTGACTTAACTGCTAGCACCACCAGGGAGGCCTAGCCCAGTTAAATTTAATTGATTTTGTATTTTAACATGCTCGCTTCAGATAATTAAAAAAATAAATAGCATGTTACAGATTCAGCTATAGCCCCTCCTATCCCATTCCTCTCATCTCTTCCCAGCCCTCAATGTTTTGTCTCTCTCTCACACACACACACACACACACATACACACACACACTATTTACTATTCTAGCATCTTGGGTAAATTTAAATTCCATTTAATTTTAGAAACAGACTGTGAAGATTTAGGTAAATTTTTCAGATTTTTTTTATTAGAAAGATATGTAATATATTGATTGATTTAGAGAGAATTATCACCTTAATGATATTAAACATTCTTATTGATGAACATAAAACAATTTTGCATTTATTTAGATTTTTAAAAATGTTCTCAGTAACTTCTCATAATTTTATACCTAAAGCTGTTCCACATATTTTTCAAATTCATTCCTACTTTCCTCACACATTTATGCTATTACAAATGTATATTTTAAAGTCATGTTTCTAAAATCCAGCGACATTGCTTTATTGACCTTGTTTCCAGCAGCCTCTACTAGTCCATACATATTTTATAGATTATTTATAGTTTATATAAATTCTATATAATTTTACATTCTCTGTACTGTGAATAACAATGCATTTTTCTATATTTCTAACATTATTATTATCTTATTGTGCTAGTTAGAATACCAGTATAAGGTCGAATTCCAGGAGTAGTAATAATGAACATGTTGGTTCCAACTCCTTTCACTACATAATATCACCTCTTGCTTTTATCCCTATTTCAAAAAGATTTGCATTATTATATCTTACTAACCAAGAAGTAGGTCTCCTAGTCCCTACTGAGGTAGATCCCTGAATAGGTATTCAGTTCCTATCAACCTCATTGAACAAATTGCACTTAATAAAGGTACTCAACTATCCATAAACATTTCACTGGATGGACTGCCATTCCCTCAGGTGCAATGTGTCTGACATCACTCAAAACTACTATCTTTTCTATCCATGTATGTTCTTTAAAGGTATCACCAGCCACACAGCCTTAGTAGTCAGAAACCTATATTCTTCTTTCAACCACCATGTCTTGTTCACCGTCAATCTTGTTGAATCTACATGCTAAATATCTGCCAGAGTGTTATCCTCTTCTCTTCATTTTTAACATCAATGATTGGCTGTATCCTCAGTATCATCCATCACAACTACAGTACTAGTTTCTCTCTGCCATCCACCTCAGTTCCTGCCTACCACTCTTCTCACTACTATCAAGTTTATTTTTCTAAAGTGCAAGTCTAGTCATGACTTCCCTAAATTAAAACCTCTCACCCACTCCCCATTGTCTGCTGTATGAATAAAGTTCTTAGTTCTCTAACTGGTCATACAAGGTCTGTTGTTTACCCTGGCTAGCTCTTGAACATACTTTTCTCTACACCTTGTCCTGTAGTCTAGCAAAACTGAAATGTTTATTTCCTGATGCCATGATTTTTGTACATGTTGATCTCTCTGCTTGGGTTACTCTACCGGTCTTATTCACTTTCATCCAAGCTCACATGTCACTTCCTGCAGAAAAACTCTTTAAAGAGCTCAACAAATCCTTATTATACCCAACCTACATCCAACTATTATATTAGACAGTACATTCAGAGATGAATAAAATGCAACCCAAATGCTCTAGTATCAGTTAGTTAGCTTTACTTTCTGGTACAATAATTTTCACTTACATGTTTCTTTATTTTCTTTCTTATGGGCTCAAAAGTATCTTCTCCATGCTCAGTAAGTACAAGTATAAATATACAAAGTTCACATTATTCTCAAATACAGATATATATGCACATACACAATATTCAGAGACATTCATGTACACAATTTCAACTAGGAAGTGTAATTATAAGTGATGAGATCATGAGCTCAGTAGCTGTGGTTAGACTGGACTAGTCAACACACAGAAACACGATGTGGCTAAGATGGTATTAAGGAGCCGTGACTGAAGACAGGTAGCCTGAGTTTGCATCTCAGCTCTACACTTCCAAGTTGGTGTCCCTGGGTAAGTTAGCAAACCTTTGTGTCTCAAGTTCTTCGTGAGTAAATGAGTAAAATGATAGTCCCTGCCATATAATACTACTGGGAGAATCACTGAAGTTAATGCAAAATGAGTCTGAATTGTGTGTAACACAATATAAATGGTTCATAAATGATGGCTATTGTTATTATTTTGTACATGAGGACACCTTTGTCTTAGTTACTGCCAGTAAACCGAGTAACTTGTACTTCTAGCTAGCAAGGAAAGAACTGTTAGTTGTTTCACAAATGCATATTCTTACTAATCTTCCTTGTAACAGTGGCACATGTTGCAGAATGACAAGAGACTTCATAACTGTGGAGTGAACTTTTCCTTTAAATAAAGAAAGCTAGGAGACATATAAAAAGAAAATTCATTAACATACACTCATGTCAACTTGCTGTAAACACAGATTGAGGCACAGCTAGGTAAAAGTCTATGGCTTAATGTAGCACAATGTCTAGAGCAGACTGTCTCATGGAGACTTCTAAGTGTACCACCTAATAGTTTTGTTACCTTGGACAAGTTACTTTTTTCCCTCGGTGTTCATATCTGTAAAATAGGATTGATTATAACAGTTGCTTATTGTGGATATATAATGAGATAATGTATGTAAGAACATTACTTAGTACATAATATATAAGCGATGAAGAAAATACGATGCATGCAGTGGACAGAGAAACAGATAAAGTTGACCTAAGTGTTCATTCCAAAACAGTGGAGGTAGATGTTCAAATGAATGAGTAATTTCCAAGAAAAAATAATGAAATTATAATTCTACTGCACTTGCAATGGCTTTTCTTAGACTCGTTTTTTTCTATTAGAAAAATCCATGCAGCCAGCCCTTTCGATTATTTTATTTAGGGTGCCAGGATTTCCCAAAATGTGTTTTAGGGGACATCTGCCTAAGATATGTATGAGAAAATGAGTTCTGTTGGTGAATAATGCTAGGAAATGCTGCATGACAGATCTATTCCCTCGGAAATTCAAAAGTACAGTAGAACCCTAAGGGTTATATTTGTTTAATTTGGTATTTCTTTATTTGATCACAGAGCCCTTTTCCCATATACTATATATTACATTCCATAGGAATGTTCCATGGACTATACATAGGGAAATGCTGGCTTCAATGATATTAAAAAACCTTTCGAACAACACACAGGCATGGAGGTAGGTGTGGAAAGAAGAGGGCTCATACCTTTTAGAACAAACACAGATTTCTCAGGGTCACAGACACTCAGATACAAACAACATTTCCAGGAGCATGTGCAGGGTCTCTGGAGGAGGCTGGGGAGCCCTGCTCCCTCACATTATACCCTGTGGCTGCACTCGGATCCCACTGTGCAAGATCTAAGGGCTTCTAAACATACTATACTATCTGCTTCTGAATTTACATCCTACTTTCTGGAGAAGAAGAGGCTACAAGAAAAATATTTAAAGTGGAGATGCCCAAAGACAGAAGCAGAGGCGAGACCCAGGAGTGGAGTGGGAGGAGAGGACCTGTGAAGAAGCAAGAAGGTTGAGGCTTCCAGTCAGGGTCAGGACAAATATGCTTACTCCTCTGGTGGAGGCAAGGTAAGGACAACAGTAGTGCAAGCAAAAAGGACCCTTCACAGCAGGCAGGGCAGGACTCTGAGGGGAATAACAACTGCTAAGGACAGTGATCAGAGTGGGAGCTCCCTGGGGCCAGAAAGTATGTTTAATGCATTAGCGTTCTTTTCATGAGAGAAGAATGATGGCTGGAGGGAGTGGATTTGTGTTTGTCATAGAATAGGGAGGACAATGAAAAATCCTGATAAGGGATGTGTGTGTGTGTGTGTGTGTGTGTGTGTGTGTTTGTAGTGATGGCTTGTTGTCTGCTCACAATGGCCAGAGTGTAGATGTGACTTTTCAAACCAAGGTCACTGGGTGGTTTGTTCCTGAAGACAAGAAGACCTCCCTTCACTTGATCCTTGTGCATTTCTACAAAGAGATGAGAAGCTGGATTACATCCAAGGTGAACATGGTGCAAAGAGACCTACACTCTTCCACCTTAAAAGAGCTCAGTCTGTAGTAGGATGCTGAGATACATGCAGAGTGGGAAACAGAAAAAGGCTAAAAAAAGAATATAGCAACGCGGACAATGTCTACCTTTGGACAGAAGCAGGATTTTTTTTTAAATTTCTATTAATTTATAATTTTCTAACATTTCAATAATAAGCATGCTGCCTTTATAATTATGGGAAATTAAATCTATCGCTCTAGTTCACACCCTCTATGGTCAGTTACTAGAAAACTTGAGCAGAAGTTGCATGTAAACTTCATATTGATGTTTTTAATGAAGAAAACAATTTTCCAAGCACAAATGAGTGAATGGAAGTGTAATGCAGAAGACACTCGCTAGGAAGTTATATCCCCATAATTCTTAAGAGAGAGGGAAAAACTTGCTGGGTAAGAATTCCTGAGAACTTCTGGGAAAAAATGTTAACATCTCTATGGGCTGATGGGGTCAGTGGCGGGTGACTGAGTTTCCATAATTACCTGGCAGCCTGCAGAGGGGGCAGCTGGCAGGTAGGGAAGGTGGCAGAGGTCCTCCGGGACTGGGGGCGGAGCAGGAAACGGAGGCGCGGTGCGGGAGGCGGGGCCACAGGGGCGCCCAGGTAGGGATGAGCCCGGCGGTACCTGTCCGCAGGCTAGGCCCGGCCCTCCCTCCGCCCAGCCCTGGGAGGAGAAACCGAAGGGATTCTTTGAAGTGGTTCGTCGTGCGACAGCAGCTGATGAGAAAGACACAGTATCCTCGGAGACCCTGAACTGAAAGAGGCCAGAGAGGGGCGTCATGGGCCCTGAGTTGCCTGTACCTTGGCCGCTGCTGGTCACCTGGTTCCCAGCTGGTGAGCCGTGGGAATAGGGGATTCCCGAGGGGCCTGAAGTCTGGGGCCTGGCCGGGCTGAGCTGGTCAGGCAACGCAGAGGAGGCCTGGGCAGAGCTGGTCCGGCAACGCAGAGGAGGCCTGGGCTTCGCTCTGGCGGCTCTTGGCACTGGAACCAGGAGGTGCTGGAACTGGATCGGGTTTCTGCCTGTGGGATCTGTTGTTTTCTTCTTGTATTAGCCCAGCCCCTTCAGAAACAGGTGCAACTGAGAAAGAATATAGTCTCTGGGTTTGCCCTGCTGTAGTCTTTAGGCTCATCTTGGTCTCAAAAGCTGAATTGGTGGAGGCCAAACTACTCAACAATTTCTAATGTTGTCCCTGTTTTTTGCTACTTGCTATTAGGTTTTAGATAAACATAATGGCCCAGAAGTGCATTAATTTCAGGACTGGGATGTTATAGTATGTTCTCATTATATTAAGGAGTGTACAGTATGACTCAGAAACTGTTGTGTTTTACGAAATTGGTGACTCTTTGGTAATCATGTTCATTGTCACTTTTCTACTTGATTTTTGTGGACCTACTTCCTAACTTTCCCACTGCAGAGTTTCTCTTCACCCCCAGCATGCGTGCAACCAAGTAGGAAAAGAGAGCTGGATGGCAGGATGTCCAGGTCTTCTGGCTTTTTCTAATTAGGATGTAAGTGTGATATTTCAAACAAGAAGTTTCCTTTGAAAATTCTGCCACTTAACTTTTTTTTTTTCCTCCTGTCTCTCTTGTAGGAATAGTTTACTTCTAAGTTCTCAATGGAAGCTCAGCTCAGTTTGTTCACAGAATAATTTGAGTTTTATGTTTTTTTAGGGAATAGATGTAATATGAAGTCACAGATAGAATTTTGTTTTCACAAATTTACATCAAAATTGCTGAGATGTAACCAAATCCCAGGCAAGATTCTACAAGAATATAAGCTTAATGTTGATAATAAAAGGGAAGGGAATTACAGCAAGTTAAGAAAATGAGAAAAGTGGCATCTTTAATGTCCTCTGTTTACTTTTTCTGTAGGATATATGATCCTTTAAGTTATTTGAAGCTGACAAACTAGATGTAGACATCCATGACACACAGGAAATAGACAAAAAACTAACTGAAACTGAAGTACCCAAAATTCCACAGGCTTTGTCACCAGCTTTTGAAAGCCAATTCATAAAAATCCCACAGCTTCACACAGTCTCCGTTCCTATGCCTCACGTGTTCAAACTCCACAGCAGGTCGAGATTTCTGAAGCTGCTTGAGCTGCCTTTTTCTGAACGTAGAGTCTATTTGCACCTCAGCCCCTGGGTACCTCATCCCCAGAATTAGGACTTTGTAGGCAGCAGTCACCCGGATCAACAGAATAAGACAAAACCCCATTCAGGTAAAATAATCCCCAATCCTGGAGTCTCCAACAGAATTTTTTGGACGTGATATATATATATATATATATATTTTGAGAATGTTGAACACTGAGCATTTTCTAATTCAGTGATAATAGCCAAAGGGTATGTTCTTATAATAAACAAATTACTAAATAGATAGGGCCTTCAGAACACAGAGCTCCAGGTATTCATGAACCAGTGTGAGTAACCAGCTGAAGTCACATTTGCTGCTATTCTTAAAATGGAAGGCTATCTGCATGACATTCTAGAACCAGAGTGCTGAACATGCAAAAATCCTAAGTAAACATCTAAACTTACTTTTATTTTGTAGTTGAGAAATTGAGATTTCAACTGTTTTGTCTAAAAGGATGAGATTTCAATGGTTTTGTCTGAAATTTGCCGTTGTAGGGGATAATTTTCCAAAGTAGGACGTGTTTTATGGACATTTGGACCTTGCATCCATAATGTTAATAAGACTGATCAAGTTACTGAACTGCTTTTAAGGCTCTTAATACAGTGCCTGGAACAAAATGAGGGTTTAGCCATGGTGATCAAGGTATGGATCAGTTAGAGCCAAGAGGAATTTTTTTAAAGTTAAAGAAACAATGTCAGCTTCTCTTACCCCTCCTTACCCTACAGCTAAGAAATTGCAGCTCACTAGTTAGAATGTAGTCAAGTTGGAATTTGGCATTTGCCTCTTAACTAGCTGTGACTAATTTCTTTAGCTCTCTTCATCTGAAAAAAAAGGTGAAATTCTGACAAGTTCCTCCCTTCTACCTCCTTCCACCCCACTCCTAGGCCAACTTTTGATAGGCGGGTGTCAGGAAGCACAGCGTCAGGAAATATTGGGTCCCTCTCCTCTGCCCCCACATCGTTCTTTATTTTTAAACCAAACTTCCTAAAAATGTCTCTAAAATAAAATAGAACATTAAGCTTCCTCTCTCACTTCTAGTATCTACTGAAGCTGTGCTTTTCAAACTTTTTTCACAGATCTCAGTTTACACTGTGACATGAGTATACATATCAACATTTAAATGCAAAAATTTTTTTAAAAGATATATTTATTTATGCATACAGAACTGGGGTACGGACCAGAGGTACAGGGCCAATGAGAGGATTCACCAGAGACAGAGTGGGGAGCAGAACAGGCCGACTGATGAAGTACACTGCCAAGAGGAGCAGCAGGCGGGCCAGGAGAGGTCTGCCACACCATGTGGATCAAACTCTGGGGCAGGTGGGGATTGAGCTCATGCTGAAGTGGCCTTAGCTTCTTAGTGCTGGGCTTTAATGCACTGCGCCACCAGCTTGTAAGTTGATTTTCTCAAGATCTGTTATAAACTGCAAAATGAACTTGGAAAGCCCTGCACGAAAGCAAGTTCATTTTGGTGTCTCCCCCTGTTCTGTTCTCTTTCCAAAGAAGAATCACCTAAATGTCTGATGAACCTCCAAGTTTCCACAATGACAAAATGCAGGGCAGTAGTGAAATTGTGTCACTCCTTGCTAGTGGGTGTGGTTCGGGGTCCCTGGAGAAGCCTCTGAGGTCAGAGAGTCCAGGAAGTTACCTGCTCTGAGCTGTGGCTAGATCAGTTGTCTGAGGCTTTGTTTTTTTGTTTGTTTGTTATCTCCAAAGCTTTTTTTCTCTCTAAAAAAAACCACATTTTTACCACGTAGGTGATCCTTACAACAAAACATTCACATAAAATGGAAGGAAGTAAAGCAGCCCTTTGCATTATTGGCTAATAGCTCTGGTTTCCTTCATCCAGCCTCAGAATTTATATCTGGAATGAGAGTTGAGTCTACCCTCTCTCTCTCTCTCTCACATACACACAGACATACAGACACACACACACACACACACAGTTGACACACACACAGTTGACCCACCCGGTTCCGCACCCCACCCCCCACACAGACCCCTCTTACCCCACTTTAAAAGGATGTGTTCTTTGTGCTTTTGTGAAATGTCTTTTAAGGTCATAGAATGGTGTTAACTTATATTTAGCCACATAACTATCAATTTTAATTACCATTGTTTGGGAAGGCAGGAAGCTGATTATTAAGGGAAAAGATTTTTAGAGAACATCCAGACCAGTAACTTTCACTGAGGGATAGAGGGGAGAGGGGTGAGGTAGGAATCACATAGAAGACTTAATAACAACTTGATCCCTGATATAATACACAGTAAAGTGGAGCTACTCAGGGTATAGGACATAGGGTTGGTAGATGGGAATCTGTGCTCTTGGTTTCTTCCTCGTCCCCATGGGGTCCTCTGAAGTATCTCTCCAGCATCCCAATATCCCACTGAACACAAGTAGCAATGGCTGTCATTCCTTGGCTTCTTTTGGCCAGTTTTACAGATCAGGTAGTCTGTTTCCAGGGAAGTCATTTGTCTCAGGCTCATACCGTGGAGTCAATTTGAAGTTGGAACCAGAACCCTGGCATCCTCGCTCTTAGTCCAGGGCTCTTTGCCCTTTTGCATACCAGGGAGCAGGTTTGTTTTATCTAATTCAATCTTGGTATGCAGAAATAGAAATAGACTGTCTCTGAGATGTCTAACCAGATGCTAATAAAGTGTTACCCCAACAACAATGTGGGTCAAAGGAAAGCGATTTTGACATATTTTGTTTTCTTTTATGAAACTCGATGAATCACCAAAGTGTTTTGTTTGATCTTAGGATCTGCTTCTTTACTTTTATTCCAAGTGGCAAAACTTTGCACTAGCCTATTTTATACATCTTAACCATCTCTTTGCTGCAAAGTCGGATTCCTTTCTGTCTAGTTCCAAACATCCTCTATTCAGATGATAGGTTAATTTACCTAAGCTAATCTTCCCACCTTTACTTTAATCTTTCCTCACACAATCTCCATTTGATCTTTATAGTTTGTAAGAGGGGAGTAAAGCGCTTTGTTTGGAATTTAAACATTCCGACCTCACCAAGTGGGTAGCCTTGTCCACAGACAAGTGAATGTTCTTTGGCCTCTTCCCTCCTCCCCCATCCCCAACATGCACCCTTCTTCCTTGCTTTTTGTTTGGCCATATTACAAATGGTTAATGTTAATTATTTATTTTCAGTATTTTAAGAGCACTTAAAATTCATTCCAAGCTATTCTGCTGGTCTTGTAAGAATTTATTTGGCTTTAAAAAAATTTATTATTCATACAGAACTGGGGTACAAGCCAGAGGTGCAGGGGTGGTGAGAGTCTTCACCAGAGGTAGGGTGGGGAGCAGAACAGGCAGATCGATGAAGTATACTGTTGAGGGGAGCAGCGGACGGGTCAGGAGAGGTCTGCGGCGCCATGTGGATCCATCCGGGGCTGGGGAATCAAACTCACACTGAAGTAGCTGTGGCCAGCTACCCATTGCGCCACCATGGAGGACCCTTATTTGGCTTTTTTATTGAGCAAATATTTAATGTTCACGCCTATGTGCATGCTGACAAACAAAACAGACATGGTCTGGTCCACATGGTGTTTATGGACTAAAGACATACAACAAATACAGGATTACATCTGTGGCAAGAACCACGAGAAAGAGATAGAAGGTACCATTAGAGCATATAATAGGTGAATTTTGCTCTTTGGGAATGCCCTTTCTGAAAAAGTGATGCT